TCACAGCCTCCTTCTGCTCCCCCTCTTTTGTCACTCTCTTAAGCTCACAGCGACATTGTGACCAAAGAGGGCAAACAGCTCAGCAGGATCTGCAGGCGACTGCCAGGTTCTCTGTGGTACATGTTGAGACTCCAGAAAACAAAACTGTCACCAGCTCGATTCCCCTTGGTGTTTACAGTAGCTGTAGGAGGGGGGAAGCAGCCCAAGACTGGGTGTGACAACTCCCACAGACCTCCAGGGACCTCCACGCCCTCGGGCTGTGCATCTTCCAAAACATAAAGCTATAGGAATGAGGTTCTTGTCCCAGGCGCTGCTGTTCCCTGAGGTTGTACTATACTCTTTTTTGTTGGAATCTCAGAGGTTAAAGATTTGTCTTTAAACAGAGGTGGACACGGGTAAAATCAAGCCAGGGAATGTGAGTGGCAGGTTTTCAGACAGCCTGTGATGGGCACAGAATGACAAACGGGTCCCTGGGGGAGGGAGCTGGTGCTGGGGTGACACAGTGGTGGCGGGATGCAGAGAGACAGAGAGAGAGGGAGAGAGAGAGAAAGAGAAACAGGAAGAAGGAAACAAAAAGAATCAGAGAGAGAGAGAGAGGCAATAAGACAGAAAACACACAGAGAAAGGCAGAGAGAGAAAGAGGAAGAGCCAGAGATGGAAAGATCGGGAGGAGAGAGAGAAGACAGAAAAAGAAAAGGGAGACTGAGAAATAAAATACACTCCCCTGCCCCTGCAGCAGAACTGAACCAAACATACGGAAGGAAAAGGCGACTGGGAGAAAGAGAGAAGCCGAGGATTGTGCCTAGATTCTCGAAGTAGGGGCTCAAGTAGTGGTTGACTTCAAGAGAATGAAAAGCAAGATCTTAGAAAATGGGGGCAGGGGAACCAAAGAGAGTTGGGAAGCTTGAAGAGAAAAGAGACAGAAAGCAAGGAGAAGAAGGAAAAGGGAGAGAAAAGCTGAGTGGAAGAGAGAAAGGAGGAGGGAGGGATGTTACTAGTCAGGATGCCCTGGTGCCTTGCCCTTCACCATTTCTCTGTCCCACATTTTTCCTCCAAGTTAGCAAGGAGTCCACGCCTGTTTGTTCAGCTTTCCTCCACATCAGCTTCTTCCCCAAAGACCCCTCTCCTGGGCCTGCAATGCTCTTTCCATAGGACATGACTTTGGGACGACCCTGTGAAATGCCTACAGCTAGAACCGAGCACATAATTGGTGGGGCAAAATGAAAACACAAGGCCCCTTGTTCCAAAATTATTAAGAGTATCAGGACGATGAGACTTCTGGCTAAGATGGAAGCATAGGTAGATACACGTTGCCTCCTCACGCAACCAAAAGAAGAACAGCAAATTTACAAACAAAAATTAACCAGAACTGCTAGAAAATCAAACTGTATGGAAGTCTGACAACCAAGCAGTTAAAGAAGAAGCATTCATCCAGACCTGGAGGAGGGGTGGAGATGGGCAGCCCGGTGGAGAGGACCAGGCAGGCAAGGCAGTGGCTGACAGAGCAGGCAGTCCCACATTTACGTGCAGATAAACTGGGAGGAACAACTTGGGAGCCAGACAGACAATGTGACCTTGCACAGGATTGCAGTGCAAGGAAATAAAGCCTCAAAGCCTCTGACTGTAAAAACTGTGGGGGTTGAGGCAGGAGGAGAACCTCCCAGCCTCACAGGAGAGTTCGTTGGAGAGACCCACAGGGTTCTAGAATGTACACAGACCCACCCACCTGGGAATCAGCACTAGAAGGGCCCAATTTGTTTGTGGGTAGCGGGGAAAGTGACTGAAAGTCAGGGGAGAGCTGAGCAAGTAGCATTGTTCCCTCTCAGACCTTCCCCCACATACAGTGCCACAACTCGGCGACGTGGGTTGCCCTGCCCTGGCAAATACCTAAGGCTCCACCCCTTACTATATAACAGGTGGGCTGAGACAAAAAAACATGGCCCAAATGAAGATCAAAGCTCCAAAAATAGAACTAAGCCACGAAGAGATAGCCAACCTATCACTGGTAGTCAGGATGCTCACAAAAATGGTTGAGTATGATCACAAAATAGAGGAAGAAGTGAAAGCTATGCAAAGTGAAGTAAAGCAAAATACACAGGAAACCAGTGGTGAAGGGAAGGAAACCGGGACTCAAATCAATGATTTGGACCAGAAGGAAGAAATAAACATTCAACCAGAACTGAATGAAGAAACAAGAATTCAAAAAAATGAGGAGAAGCTTAGGAAACTCCAGGACATCTTTAAACGTTCCAACATCCGAATCATAGGAGTGCCAGAAGGAGAAGAAGAAGAGCAAGAAACTGAAAACTTACTAGAGAAAATAATGAAGGAGAACTTCCCCAGTCTAGCAAAGGAAATAGACTTTCAGAAAGTCCAGGAAGCTCACCGAGTTCCAAAGAAGTTGGACCCTAGGAAGCACACACCAAGGCACATCATAATTACATCACCCAAGATTAAAGATAAGGAAGGAATCTTAAAAGCAGAAAGAGAAAAGGGGACAGTGACCTACAAAGGAGTTCCCATGAGACTCTCCACTGATTTCTCAAAAGAAACCTTTCAGGCAAGAAGGGGCTGGAAAGAAGTATTCCAAGTCATGAAAGCCAAGGATCTACATCCAAGATTACTCTATCCAGCAAAGCTATCATTTAGAATGGAAGGGCAGATAAAGTGCTTCCCAGATAAGGTCAAGTTAAAGGAGTTCATCATCACCAAGCCCTTATTATACGAAATGTTAAAGGGACTTATCTAAGAAAAAAAGATGTTTAAAAATATAAACAATAGAATGACAACAAACTCACAACTATCAACAACTGAACCTAAAACAAAACCAAAAACAAACTAAGTAAACAACTAGAACAGGAACAGAATCACAGAAATGGAGAGAGATCACCTGGAGGATTATAAGTGGGAAGGGGGAGGAGGAGAATGGAGGAAAAGGTAACAGGGAATAAGTAGCATAAATGCTAGGTACAGAATAGACAGGGGGAGGTTAAGAATAGCATGGGAAATGGAGAAGCCAGAGAACTTGTATGTACAACCCATGGACATGAACTAAGGTGGGGGGATGCTGGTGGGAGGAGGGTACAGGGCAGAGGGGAGTAAAGGGGAGAAAAAAATGGGACAGCTATAATAGCATAATCAATACAATATATTTTTTAAAAAGAGTACCCGGACAATGACAGCAGAACATTAAACCAATGTGGGCTCTTCGGGGACCAGGCACCTACCGCCCTCCCCGAGAGGCTGCAGACTGAGTGGGAGGGGCAGACATCGCTTCTCCAGAAGGAGGAGGTAGGGCTGGTAGATAAAATTTCAAATAAAGGATGAATAATTTTTAGCATAACTATGTCCCAAATATTGCACTTTCCCATTGGCCCAGCAGGGGTCACGTGACCATCTCTGAACTAATCATAGAATCATGGACCACACCACGTGGCGGTAGTCAAGGTACCCATAGTCAGAACTTATACTGAAGATTTATGCTTTTTTTTAAAAAAAAACAACCTGATTTTTCAAATTTAACTGGGTGTCCTTTATTTTTACTCTATGAATTTGTTAACTCTGTGGAAGAAAGCAAGAGGCTGGGGTAGCGGTGGGGGTAGTGAGCAGGGGGCCACAGCTCTGTCACCAGGACAGGGCTGGAGTCTGGGGAGGGAGGGAGGCAGATTGGAGCAGGACCCCAGGAATGTGAGACTCTTGGGGACAGAAGTGGCTACGGCAGATTTTCAAGATGTTTCCCTGGGCCATGCGCCTGTGATAGCCTCCCACTCAGTCCCCTTGAGAGGGCTTCAGTGAAAGTCCGGTAAATCCTTGTTGACGGCACTGGAGTCAAACTCCAGTTGAGAGCGACACTCTATGAGCCCTGGTCCAAGGCAACCCCACTGTGCCCTGGGAATGCGTTAGATCTGGGTCCCTTCCGTGGGCAAGGATGGGGTGACAATGATGTCAGTTTCTCTGTTTCTGGCAGGAGGGAAGGGCACCCTTGAATTCTCCAAATAGAACTCTGCTTTATCAGAAACAACCCCCTTCATCCGATGACTTTGCTCAGTGAAAATAACCCTTGTGAGCAAGTGAAGTGTGACTTTCTTTAGGATTAGGAAGGCTGCTGAGCAAACAGTGCTAATGACGCCATCTGGTGGTGTAAAGAGACCCAGCACCCTCAGGGCACTGACCATGCAAGTACCTAGGGCTTCCCTGCTGTTCATTCCTTCAACAAATGCTTCTGAGTGCCTGCTACGTGCCAGGCAGCTACATTGCGAACGGTAGTCATAAGAGCATAGTTTAGGATAAAACTCATTTCTTAGTTTAGTGCAAAAACATACTGGAAATGTAAGGCAATGAAAATGAGGTCTTTAAAATCTTTAGCCATGAAATTCACACAGAAACTACTTTTGCTATCTTATGTTGCCTTTTAGTACAAAGGACTGGTAAATCTTGGGTGGAGTTCTAAGAGAGAGAGGGGAAGAAGAAGGAGGAGGAGGAGGAGGGGAAGGAGGAGAAGAAGAAGAAGGGGAAGAGGAGGAGGAAAAAGAGGAGGAAGAGGCAGGAGGAGAGAAGAGGAAGAGGAGGAAGAAGAGGAGAGATTTTTTTGTCCCTCTCTGCCCTGTGAGGACAAGCCAGGGTGAGCGCTCACCAGGAACTGAATCGCTCACCACCTTGACCTTGGACTCCTCGGCCTCCAGAACTGTGAGAAGTGAGTGTCCGTTGGTTAAGCCACTCTGTCTATGGTGTGTAGTTATCACAGCCTAAGCTAAGACAGGGAGGGAGGGGAGCGGTATGTCTGATGATGGCCGTGAACTTGTCTTGTCTTAGATATTCCCCAAATGTTCCCAGAACTATTCTCAAAGTGGCGGTCCGGTCTGGGCATTCAACATTTCAGCAGGTATCCCCCCCAGAGCTGGAAACACCGCACCCCCCCCCCCCACCGCTGGGTGCCATCCTGCAGAATTTGTCACAAAAATCCCATAGATTGACTCTTTTTCATCTGTTTTATTAGCATCAATATATACAAAGTGGAAAATGACTTAATTTCATTATTCTAGCTTAGAAAGTTGGTTTTGTTTTTTACTCTGTTTGGGGATCAAGTGAAAATGAAAACATCCCAGGAGAAAGCCTGCCTTTGGGGGTGCTGAACCCCCATGACCCACCATGACCTCTCAGGGCACAGGAAGGTCATGCTCTTTGGCCTTACCCCCTGAAAAGGTCATTTTTTTTTTTGCCCAAAGCTCATGCTCAGTCTAAATTTACCCATCTGGTTGCCAAGTCACTTCTGCTTACACAACCGTCCCAAAGCTGTAACCACCCTGCTTCCTGCACGGCCGTTTGGCAGTTGCTGAAGCTGTCAGCCTGAGGTCCCGTAGGCTCTCCAAGGAGCGGACTCCAAAAGGTCATATTTAAAGCATGTCTATGGAACTAAGTAAAGGCGGCCGTTGAAGAGAGACCCGAAGAGTGATGTTGGCTAAATAATTCTACACCCCTCCCCCCCAAATAGCAAAAGAAGGAGCTCCAAGCTGAAGAGGGTGGAGTGTGTGTGTTTAAAGTACAGGGCGCCAGCTGACAGGTCCGGCTTCCGTAAGTGAGCCTGGAACACACGCCATCACATGCATTCTTCGGAGCTCGAAATCTCTGTAAACGTATTTCCCCGCTGTTTGATAAACAAAGAGTGGCTTGTAGGAAGGTCCAGTCCGTTCTCGAGTTTCTCAAGAGATTATATCCTGTTCAAAAATATTTAATCCCAATGGGTTTTAATATCGGTCTTATAAAAACAGACTCGTAGGAACCGCAGTGAGATGCCTGGTACATTTTTTGGCACGATTACGATGATTTCTTTACCTTTGCCTGTTACAAATACACATTCGGAAAGAAAAATAGACACCGGCCTGTCTTTTCAATCACACCATACGTCGTCAAGCCCGTACGACCCATCTTTAGGTGAAAACGAACATTTAAAATATGGTTACACTAGGTGCTGCACTACTAACACGGAACTAAGACATGGGTATCCCAGGGAAAGAAATCAACACCCTTTCTATCCGTCCAAAGACCAGTGAGAATTCCTGGGCCACGGCCTGGCCAGTATCGGGGGACAAGGTTAGGATAACGATTTTACATTTTGTCAGTCTTCATGAAAGGCAAATGTTGAGTTTTCACAGAGCCATAGCACGTTCTGAAATGAAGAATCATTAATAGCGTTCTTTCCAGGCGCCCCAGGGTGAGGGTTAGAATCATCAAGCGGAAGTCAAAGCAAAGATGGGATCCTGCCTTTAAAAAAAAAACGGTGATGTCACTTGCATCATTGGTCTTTCTCCAAGTATGATTATTACTCGCTAATGGTCTGGAATGTCTCTTCTCCTGGTTCTTTCGGAAAACGGGGTGGGCCCTGGGCAGCTGCAAACGCGGCCTGTTGTTACCACTTGCCCTGCGTCACGCGTGCGTGCCTTAGGGAGCGTCATCTTTTCTGGCCGAAGGAAAATATACCAGCCTCAGGGCTTCAAGACCCAGTGAGGTCCCCGCTCTGTGTTAGGAGGATGGTGTGTGTGCATGCGCGCGCATGTGTGCGTGCAAAGCCAACTACCCCCTGCCGTTCCAGGTGTTCCCCAAACAAGCCACCCATGGCACGTCAGCCGGAAACGTCTTGTCTTGTTTGAAAGCCAGCGGGTTGAAAACACTTCTGGAGAGCGTGGGCGGGAGCCAAAGAGGGCTCCCAAGTCACCGACCCAGTGTGCCGCTCTGAGCCACCGGCTGTCACTAGGGAGGTGACTGACGGTCCCAGGGAGGTGACTCTGCCTTGCACAGACTTTTCCTCCCACGCATCCTCGCACCCTGCCTTTTTAAAATACCTGTAGTTAGAAAAGACTCCTCCGTGATCGTTGCACACGTTGACACTGATGAAAAATACAGGGGTGTGCACGTGGTTAATCAGGTCCTAAGAATTCCTTTCTGCAGGAAATGCCTCCTCTCCTCATGGGCGTTCGAACCGTAGGATGTGGGTTCCTGTGTGGTTTTAACCTCCTCAGCTTCTGTTTCTCTGCATCCAGGCCACCGTCCGATGTTCCGAGGACAGAAAAATCGTTTTCTTCTCAGAGACCCCTCCCTCCCCCCACAGGACTAGATGGCAAATACAGTCCGAAGCTACACCTTGCAGAGAAACAGTGCCCTCGGGTGTCCCCTATTTCGAGGGCTCGGGCGTTCCGGCACCCCCGGAGAAAAACAGAGCTCACCCCCCTACCCCCCGCCGCCACCGATTTCAGGACAGGACACCTCCCCTCCAGCACAAGCCGTTCTAACTCTGTGGACGAAGCTGCTGCTGCCTCCCAGGGCCGAGGGTCTAGTATCGCAGGGCGGGCGGCCTTGCCGACCAAGGGGATTGGTTCTGGCACTTGCAGAGTGAGTGACCTGCTCCTTCATCGCTGAAGGATCGTCAAAGGAAAACGTTTTATTAACTGGGTTCCCTCAGCCAGTGCTCCCCTTCACCCCAAACTGTCCAATGTCTCATCTGCTCTGAAAAAATTTTCTTGTCATGTATCACTCTTCTAGAGAGAAAACATTTTCTTCTTTTACCAGCATCCAGTGAGGCCAGGTGGTAAAAGGGAAGGTGTATATAACACCTTTGCTGCCTTCAGAAGGACCGTGGGCGGGAGGGGGTGGGGCAAGACCTTTTAGGGGCGGGGAAACTGGAAGGGCGAACGCAGGATTTGTTCCGGAGCAGACCTGGTTAAGTATCCGTGGGACATTCCAACCCCCGTTAATCCAACAAAAAAGATGCTCTTTCCAACCTAACCTGGGGGGGCTTTGATTTGCACTAAAAACACCATGGGCATGGATCTCAAAGACGCATGCAATCTGAGGCAGCCACGGAATGGCACGGCTCATGGGAGAAACTCAACCTGCTTTTTTGCTTTTTCTCTTTTTCCCCCTCTGCTGCCCTGGTGGCCGTTTTGCAGGTCTTCCACGCGCCTTCAGCGTCGCCTGAGGCTGTGTGACACGCAGCCGGCCGCAGCCGCGGTGCATCCAACCACACCTATCTCAACTTTAAATATAATAAATACAGTGAAGAAGAAAACAGGAAGTCTTCAAGAAGGAGTCTAAAGAAAAGACAGCCGACACTCTGGGGTTTGTCAACCAAATGCCATCTGGTCTCTGGATGAGTTTCTCAAGGAGGTTCTGGTTGAGTTCGTGTCCGTTCAAAGTTCCCTTCTCAAGTGTCGCTCTCTTTAGATGGAAACTTCATACTCTCTGGTTTCCTGCAAGAGGGAGAAGCGGAGATCGAGCAAAGCCTCGTGTGGCAGAGTGACACACAGATGGTCCTAGTGCTTCATCCCTCCCCATGCCCCCCACACTGGCCTTGTCATTTGCAGTGGCTTCCATGCTGACCCTGACTTGTTTTGGCCAATGGGTTAGAAGGAAATGGGTCACAAGGGGGGGCTTGAAAAGTGCTCTTGGAAAGTGCTCAAGGCACCAGGTGGAGTTTGCATCCTGGCTCCAGGCGCGCCTTCCAGCGGTGTGCCACCTTGGCCAGGCCACCTTTTCCTGTCCCTGAACCTCGCTATCCTCAGGAGTCAAGCAGAGATGACTGCAGCGTCTGCCACAGGGAGTCACAAGGATTCAGGGAGATCGTGCGTTTACGATGCCCAGCCCATGACCCATTTTATTATTGTTGCTATTATTGACATCTGTCACCTTTGCAAGACTCCAAGTTCATTCATGGCTGGATTGTGTGTATTTGGTTCATGGCCATGTCCCTAGTACCCTGCACTGGGCCTGCCACTCAAAGGTGCAGGGATGGTGCGCGCTGCCATTCATTAAGGCGTGGCGCTCAGAAAGATGTGTGGGAACATTGCCTGTTGCCAGCAGGCCACCACCAGCGGGCTCTGACCCATCTCAGCCATCCCTCCAAGGGCATCTGGTGCAGCCCCTTCCTCCTGTGACCCTTCTGCCAGGAGGGAACAGCGTTACAGGCTTGTCATCGGCTTGCAAAGCGCGCGCGGGCCTCTCTCAGCAGTTAGTGCAATGAGGGTCATCGTGGGGATGAGACAGGACCACTGGCCACACCTCTCTGCCAGTGGTTTCGTGAGCAAAAGGAAATGAAACCTTCTGTTCTGGTGTCAGCGAATTTATAGTAGTAGCCAAAGAGGGAGGCACCCGGGAGGGAGGAGAGACCGACTCACCCCTGTCTCATAGATGGGGTTGTCAAACTCGGTTTCCACGGTGATCTGGCTGTAAGGGTGGGAGTACATCAGAGGCAGGCGGAGGCTGGAGTAGTAGCGGCATCTGGGGCGGAGGAAAGGAGAGAGAACTCACTTCTCGCGGACTTGGAGACACCTTGCAGCACCCCGGGGCCACCACTGTCACCCTGCTCCATCTCAGGGCACACACAAACTAACTGCCAACCTTCTGCAGCACACCAAGAACCATATTTTGTTTTGCCAATATGAGAAAAAATAGGTCTAATTTTGATTGATTTTTAAAAAATGGTCATTACCTACCCTTTTTTCTCCAAAGTGACTTCTAAAAAAATCAGGTGCCCCTACTTGTGTGTAAGAGCTTCTGGTACCAAGAATTAACCAATCAGACTCGACCTTATGATGTGACAGGACCAATAGGATGCTACTCTATTAAATGTCCTGTATATTTATGGGTCAAGACAGGGCATTCATACTGGAGGGCTATTGTGTTGGCTGTTGTCATTTTAACATTTGACATTCCAAGGGAAAAGAGGCCAGTGCCCCTGACTAAACAGTCAGGTACGGCATGTGTTAAAAATTCTTGCAGCTCCCCAGTTGAAAAGTCGCTGCCTGAGGGCGATAGTGCCACCTTCGAGCACGGCACCTCCACGAATGACAAGGAGGCGTGGAAACAGCTCCTTGCAGGTGAGAATCCCAGTGCAGTAAAAGCTGAAGTCATAATTGCTCTCAACTTCCAACCCAGTCAGTGATAACTGAAGCCCCAGTGCCACCCCTGACTGCAGAGGGGGCGGGGCTTAATTTGTTTCCACCTGAAAAGTGATTCAAGTCCCTGTTTGTTTAATGCAAAGAGCAACAATACGAATGAGCGTTGAGAGGATCTGCTAATACTGCGTTGCCTCAGAGCAGCCCTCCCTGAGCACCTATTTAAAGGTGGCCCCTTGGTCACCACGGTCTTTCCCTCACTGCGTTTGCCCCCGTGTATCGTAATTTGTGTATGTCTCCTCTCCCCCTGCTGGACTGGGAACTCCACGCAGGCAGGGATGATTTATATGCAGCAAACACCTGCCCCAGGGCCTTTGCACATGCTGGTTCTCTGCCTGGGACCCTCTTATTGAAGACAGTCGCATAGCTTATCTTTGCATTGTTTTCAAGTCCTCACTCAAATGTCATTTCTCCGTGGGGCCTCCTCTACCTGATCCATTTAAGGTGGAGCCACGGCCCCCATCCGAGTTCCCTTTTTCTCCCTTCCTGGCTTTCTTTTCCTCTCTGCTCTTATCACCTTCTAATGGACTGCCTGTGTTTCTGACGGACTAGTGTCTATTTCCCCCATCAACGCCTGGGCCCCACAGGGGCAAAGATTTCCTTCAGTTTTGTTTTCTCCCACGACGATGTCCCTCGTGTCCAGAAAACTGCCTGGCACGTAGTAGGTGCTTAATGATTGTGACTTTGAGTGAATTAGTGGCTGTCCCAGCTGTGTTAAATATCTTCCTTCTTCACTAAAGTCAAGTTCTATGATCCCCGAACAGCTGGGACAATGTCTGGTACACATGTGATTGTCAGCACACAGAGTTGTTGACCAGGTGAATGAATGGATGAATGAGTGAATGAGCGAATGAGTGAATGAATGGGTTGGTTGGACTGGTGACGGGAAACGTGTCTCTCTCCCACCGAGCCACAGCGCCTTGAGGTCAGGGATAGAGTCTGTCTTACTGGCAGCTGCACGCTCAGCCCCCTTGTGGTGGGGGATGGGCAGGGCTCCAATAGGAACAGGTACCTCTGCGTTGAATTACATCATCTCTTCAGTCACACACCTGCCCCCGCCCTCCAGCGACCGGTGGAGACGCTGAGGTTCAGAGAGGGGCAATGCCCAGCCCCTGGTACACTGCTGGTTGAGTGGACGGCAGTGCCCCGCCCCACCCCAGGCCCCTACCTGGTGATGTAAATGTAGGCTCCTCCCAGCAGCAGGGAGATGATGAGGACGGGGATGAAGATGGCCAGCGCCATGTTGCCCCCCTCCAGCGACGTCTCGGCTGCCGCTTCTGCTACTAAACACACAAGCCGGTGAGGCCTTCACGTCCCGTACGCTCAGCCCACCTGGGTCCCTGGCTCCCAGGTGAGCACCCACCCTCCCAGTCCTGCCCCACCCAAAGAACTGATGTCCCTGAGCCTTTGCCCTCGGAGAACCGTCTCTGAGGGAAAAGGGGGCGGAGACTAGAGGAGCCGGTGTGGTTCGCCGCAACCGAGTCCAGAACCATCCTCGAGTGGGGCGGGCACTGGGACTACTGAGAATTACGCTGTTTGGGCCCACTTTGGTGGGGGAGGAGAGTACAGGTGAAATCTGGTTAAACTCCAACACAAGGGAAGACTCCAAGAAATCCCAAATGTGCTAATGGGGAAGGCAGGCTGGCTTCACATTCCATGGAGTGGACAGAAGGGAGCTCGTTGCACCCAGACGGGGGTGGGGTGGGGGGGGGCGGGGCGGCTGGGTCCCTCCCAGAGCTGTCCCTTCAGCCCCTCCAGGAGGGGGCGCTGGGCAACTGGGGCAGGTCTCAGTACTGCACCTCCCAATGGTAGCCCTACTGTGAAGACCCGATTTTGACTCTCAGAGACCACGTCTGTACATTCTTTCGGCCTCACCTGAAGCCCCCCACACCCTTCCAATGTTAACGGAAATCACAGGAGCCAGGGCAGCTGTCATGGGGGCCAGGGGTGTTTTCCCAGCATGCCTTGAGGGGGACCCCTCATCTCTTCGAGCCTCCAGGGTTCCCTTTGCCGTTCTCCCTGCCATGTCTGCAGAGCTCAGCTGCTTGCCAATCAATAATTCATTAACCACCACTTACGGAGTCCGCAAAGGTGACCCTAACGCCCACAATACACGCGTGAGCACCACACATCACAAGGGCGCTACCGTCTCCGAGCAACCCCAAACCTTTGGGACATGCTCGGGGCTCAATGGCTGCAAGAGGCAGAAAAGGGATGCCCTGAACACACAAATGTCGTGAAATGTCCAGTGGAGTGACTAATAACACATCCCCGGCTCTGCCTGCTCAGATTAAAATGTCATCTGCTGTAAGGAACAGTGACTAAAGCCATGTCATTGCCACGGCCCCAGATTCTGAGTGAACTACTTATTGCCAGAAAGTTAAATGGCTCCAAAAATAATAATGAAAGCTGCTTAATTGGTTACAATGTTAAGCAAAACAAAACAATATATTTTTATGTTTTTCTGGTGCCATAGCCTGGTGAGTGGTTTCTATAACCAAAGGGAGGTTATAGAAAATACAGTCCTGGCTGGTGTGGCTCAGTGGACTGAGTGCCAGCCTGTGAACCAAAAGGTCACCGGTTCAATTCCCAGTCAGAGCACATGCCTGGGTTGCAGGCAGGGTCCCCAGTTGGGGGCGCACAAGAGCCAACCACACATTGATGTTTCTCCCTCTCTTTCTCCCTCCCTTCCCTTCTCTCTAAAAATAAATAAACAACATCTTAAAAAAATACAGAATGTTTTAGTTGTGAGAGCAGTTGGAAGGGGAAGGAACCACAACATGAGAACCAAAACAAACCCTGGCGAGCTTTCAGCATCTGCCGCACATGAACAGATCCTACTGGAGAATTCCCGATGAAAGGAGAACCGAGGAGAGGGTACAGGGACAGAGATGTTGGGGGAGAAAAAGACCGAGTGAAAAATAGACCATCTCCCGGGGCCGACTTTCCCCTTCCAGCGCCAGGGGGACACTCAGCACGGAAGGTGAGGCGTCTCTGGGTTTGGTTTCCCCAGAAAGGACCACGCGGTCGAGAAGCCTCACGGCAGGGTGATGCCTCCGTCACGGAGAGGGACTCTCAGATTTCCTTATCTCACGGACAGCACTGGCGTCAGATGCCGTTCAGGTCCTAGTTAGGACTGAATGTTGTAAATTCAGTCGTTTTTCTTTACAGCATCATTTGTTTTGAAATTATCTTCAGCAGGGTGGAGGAAGATTTTTTTTTTGTTTATTCTTTTTGTAAGCACATGGACCGGGATAGCGTAGGGCCTGCCCTTGTGTGTCGCTATTAGCCCGATTTATTGGATTTTTCATGACGGAACTCACCTTCTAAAGCGTGTTCAAAGCTGTCTTGATTAACTGAAAGAGACAAACAAAGCACTGGTCAATGTCAAGTGAAGGCAATGAAGCCGAAAAGAACAGGGGCAGAAGCGCCATACCACGCTTGGCTGAAGTTAGGGTCATGTTCTCTTTATTGTGGGCTCCTGAAATTAGTGAGATTCCTGGGAGCTTTTCTTCCCAAGGTCCTGAGAGAGGACGAGATGGATGTGAAGGAGACAAGGGCAACAAGAGTCACGATGAATGATTCCTGAGCACTCGCCACACGTCAGGCATCGTGCCAAAAGCTTTATATATATTTGTTTGTTGAACCCTCAGAACAATTTTGTTAGGTAGATACTAGTATCAGCCCCATGTTACAGATCAGCAAACAGAGGATCAGAAAGGTAAAGGGACTTTTCTGACATCACAGTTTCTTAGCGATAGAGGCAGGACTTAGCCCTGGGCTGCTTGACTTTCTCTAGCACCTGCTCTTGACTCCAGGGTACCCGTCTTTCTAGGGGTTTCAGGCAGAACAAAGGCTGATGCATGGTGAGGGTCAAGACAAAGTCCCAAATCCCAAATCCAGCCGGGGGTAGAACCTTCTTCCTGCTTTCCAACACATTTATGTAAACCTTTCTGATTTCACTTTTATTGCATACTTATTTGACTAAAATTTATATTCCCTGTAAAACTGTTTTTGTTCATCCATTGCCGCAGACTAGAGCTCTCTGGAATTCACTCATTTCCCTGTAAAAGCCCTCCGGAAGTTCCAACTGATGGGGGCTGGTCCCTCCTGCTTTGGCACCAAAGTCATCGTGGTAGCTGAGCACAAAACTATGCCTGCACGGATGGGTTTCAAGGATGCAACACCGAAGGGTGAAGGCTTAGATAAAAAGATTGCATTATTGGGGGGGTGGAGGGAGGTCCCTCCAGTGACCCAGGTGCACTCCTGTCCTACCTATACCAAGACTTCCTAATTAGTGCCTCCGGTGTTCATTGTTACCATGTAATGAAAACAAAACCAGTCAAAAAACTAGCTAATTAACTAACTGCTGTGGACCTCAAAACCCCTCCCACCATCTCAAATAAAGGCGTTTGACCTCAACCCAAAGAGCATGGAGGTTTGAGCCGGAGAGGGCTCCGCAGGCAGGGAGACGGCCCCCGTGGGGGCTGTGAGCACCCGTGGGGGCCGTGAGCACACAGGAGCCTCTGCAGGGGCCACACCCGGTTCTCGGGGACACAGGTCCACGACGCTGAGGCCACTTCAGACCCTGTTCGGCTGTGTCAGACACATTAATACCTTTACAGAGACGTCTGCTTTAATTAAACCAAACGTAAATTAGTTTTCATATTAAATAATTCCCCAGGTCACAGGACACTAAAAAGCATTTGAGTTCATTTCTGCTACATTCTCAGTTCACCCGAGCGCTTTGTCTCTCTCAGCCCTGTGGTCCTCGGGAACCGAGTGGCCGTGAGAAGGGGGAGCAGGAGGCAGGAGACACCCCAGCCACGTCGTCGAAGCGAGTCAAAAGCACAATGACTCTCTTTTATGATAAAAACCTGGGCTTGAAAGAGCTCTTTGAGTAAGTCAAAATAAAAATGCTAAGCAAGGAGAAGGGATTGTGTTATAGTTTAACGGTCAGTAATTTTTTCTTGCTCGGCGGTGCAGAGAATAATGGTGGTATCTTAGAGTTAATGAAGCGCAGTAGCTCGGCTTTTTGGCACAGACTCAGAATCCCCGCAGGCCAGTCCTGACGCCTCCAGGTGCCCCGGTCCCCGTGTTTTGGGGAGGTTCCGTTACCTTTACACACAGGCAGGGGCCCATTCCAGTGGGACGGCTGTCCCAGGATGCACCGAATGGTCACTTCGCCCATGAGCTCGAAGCCCTCGTAGCACATGAAGGTGAGGGACTCTCCTGGCAGGTACAGCCGCTTGTACAGGATTTGGTACCCGTTTTCTGGTAGCCCTGGGTTGTCACACGCCAGGGACTCTTCCGCTGAAATGCAAGACAAAAGGGGCCCTGATGAGGGGATGTGAGCCTTTGGGGATTCCCACTCAGAGCCTGCGGGATCTGGCTGTGGCCACGTGGCAGCCTTCTCTGCCTACATCCCCGCCTCGTGTGGAACTGCTTCCCAGTCCCCAAACGCACCTTTCTCTCTCCCACCTCCGGGCGTGGGTTACACGTGGGCACGGCAGGGTGTACCGGGCTGTGGAATATGGGTTAAAATCTTGTATCTGCTACTCACTAGTTAGCCGTGTGACCTCCAGCAAGGGCCACAGACTCTCTGAGCCTCAGTTTCCTCATCAGTAAAATGGGAATAATAGTAGTACCGATCTCACAGGTACTACTCTCACAGGTACCTATCTCACAGGTACTATTATTAGTGGAAGATAAAATAAGAGAATGGTGTAAGATGTTCTCGGCATGTCCTGAATACTCTATAAATGAGGGATGGTGATGTTAAATTATGAAATATTCCTTCTGCTTCTCCCCTTACCTGCCCTCCCAGGCTGGATAAGTCTCATCTTTCAACACTCAGTTTTCATTTCTCTACCTCCAGGAAGCCTTCCCTGATTTGGTCACTGTCCCTAATCAGTCAGTAGTCTTTCTAATTCTTTCTCCACCCCAGCACTGCACACACTGTATTATATTTAATCATTTACTATTAGTTTCCCTTACTGGAAATGAGCCTGTTAAGGTTTGCTTGGAGCTCAGGGCCTGGCATATAGTAGGAGCACCATAACTAACCTCAACATATACAGTAGGAACACCGTAAGTAATGTCTGTGGGCAAAATATTGACTTCTCTGAGCCTCGGCTTCCTCCTCAGCAGAACGGGTTCTCTCGTGGGGCTGTCACGAGGGTTGAGTGAGCCCAGGCACATGAGGGAGCTGCACAGAGTGAGCTCCCCGTGGTCACCGGTCACCTGTGCGGCCTTGACGACTTCTGTCGTCTTTTCACACCAAGTGCACTACTGTTCACTTAATGTGTTTTATTCCTGTTGGCCTGCTTTTCCACTTAAATAGTGCTACGCAACTTAGCCTCGCCCTAAATAATATTTCAGTAATCACAGATTTCAAAGGTCCGTTTTCATTTTTCTTATCAAAACACCAAGAATTTGACCTGGGCACGGTCCCTAGCAAGCCGCGCCCATCCAGCGCGGTGTAAGTAACACTCCCCGGGGAAGGCAGCCCGGCGCACCGCACTTCGTGGTTTATGAATCCGAGTCTAGAGCTCGCTCATGTATCTGCTTGTTTATTTTCGGTCCCGCAGGCACTGCTCTGCCCCTCTGGGCCGGGTTTGTGCCGGGGGGTGGGGAGGGACGTGTTCAGTGTGATGAGCTGGGGAAGTGTGGTTTCTGTCTGCCCAGAACCCAGTCTAGCGGGAGATAGAAGAGAGAAGCGATGTCCGGTGATGGTGACCCAGTCCAGGATCGGCTGTGATGGGGCAGCACAGGAAAACCTCAGCCGACCGGGGCACGGGTGGGAAGGTCAGGGGAGGTTTCCAGAGGAAACCGAGAAATCCAGGGCTCCGCTGGGGGAGAGTGAGGATTCAGGCTGGGGGGCGGGGCGGGGGGGGGGAGCCGTGAGGGTAGGGTGGGTGAGGGTGGGATGAGATGCTGATCTGATTGGCTGCTGCTTCCCACCTTCCTGGGTGGGTGGAGAAGGAAGGGATCCTTATGGCTGTGTATTACCTGCAATGTAGCAAAGTGGCCAGCAGGTGGCAGCGGTTACCCAGAAGAATTTCCCCACAACCTTTCCCGGAATTTCCTTTCATAAATGAACTGAGAAGCGAGTACAACAAATACTTATTGAGCACTTTTCATGTGCCAGGCACTGCTCTCGGCCCGGACAACAATGATGAACAGGTTAGACAGACGTGGCCCCTGCCTTCGTGCAACCTAACATCCATGCATTCCACAAGTACTTTCTGGACGCCAATCCGTGCCAAGAATCGCCCTGGCACCGGGGAGAGAGAAGAGGACGAAGAGTAAGCTCCTAGATCCAGAGGCAAAGCAAGGTGTTGCCGGCAGGTTCAGGAAGGGGAGGGGAGGTGCCTGCAGCCATTGTCCCCTGGCTGCGCGACAGTCCCCCTGGGTGACTCGGTGCCGTGTCTCCACTCTGGGCATTTTCATTCGTCCCCCAGAACATTCTTTTAAAGTTCCCCAGGTGAGTCTAAAGTTCAGCCACAGCTGCAGGGCTGACGGGTTTGGGGCTCGGAACTGCAAAAAACTAATCATTTAATTAATTTCCGAAATATTCCAACATTCGTTTTGTACCCAATGATTTATATATATTATTTCCAGTCCTTCCCCAAATCCTTAAAGGTAGGAACACTAGTGACCGGACTGGCCAGCATTTACTGAGGGCGCCCTGTGCGTCAGGCACTCCTTGGAATTTTACATCTACGGTCTCATGTAATTACCCTGACACCCCCAAGGCACAGATAGCATGATCACCACCCCCATGGGCATCTGGGCAAGCAAAGCACAGGACTGCTGGGCGGCCCGAACAAGTTAGTGGGAGAGAGAGGCTTCAGAGCTTCAGGTGGTCCGAGCCCACCGTCCACCACCGCACACCCTACGGCCATTTTACAGATGAGAAAACTGAAGCTCAGGGGCAAGACCACCTGTGAAAGGCCGTCCCCCGACCCCCACCAGAAGGAAGCAGCTGCGCTGTGATTCGAGTCCAGGATTCTCCGTAAAGGGTGTTGGTTCGATTTTGATCCAGCCATCAGCAAACGTGGGAGAAGAATCCCATGTGGGTTTCTCCCCTGGTGGAAACCAGCTTTCTCTGGAGGCGGCTGTGTTTATCTTCGGCTCCCAGAAGAGGGCAGGAGAGTGACGTGAAAAGCGACAGATTTTGACACTGGAGGCCCACATCTCCTGTGTGACCTCGGGTGAAGCTCTCCACACCCTCTGGACTGCATTTTCCCGCCTGTGAGGTAAATGCACTGGACCAAGGCCCTGTGCTCAGCTGGAACACGGCTGACAATGCCGTTCCCCCTCTGAGGATGTCCCACACCTTGAAAACGAATCATCTAAGGTAGGCTTTCTCAACCTGGACCTTACTGACATGTTGGGCTGGGGAATTCTCCGTGCTGGGGCTGTCCTGTGCCTTGTAGGATGTTGGGCAGCACCCCTGGTCTCTGCCCACTGGACGCCAGGAGCACCCCTTGCCCACTCCTGTGACAGCCTAGAATGTCTCTGGAAACTGGCATTCACGAATGTCTCCTGGGGACGCAACATTACCCTGGCCGAGAAACGCTGGCCCAAGGTTTAAACAATTCTGGCTGCACAGCCACGCGACTCCTGCCCATTCTACACCAGGAATGCAGGGGCCAGCCTGGTGGTCTGCAGATGTGACCACAACCCTCCCCTTGCTTCTGTTGTTTCATTCTCCCCCTGCCTTTAACTGTAAGAAAAAAACCATGCATTTTTGGAGCACATTTGAGCAAAATGCTCAAAATCAGGTTTGCTAGCTTTTTTTTATTATTGATTTGAGAGAGAGAGAGAGAGAGAGAGAAAGAGAGAAACATCACCTTGCTGTTCACCCACTCATGCATTCATTAATTGCTTCTTAATATGCCATGACCAGGGATTGAACCCGCAACCCTGGAGTAATGGGACAATGCTCTAACCAGTGGAGCTACCCGGCCAGGGCAGGTTCACTAGTTATTGCTACAGTTGTTTTGTCATGTATCCCATAAGTGGTAAGTAGCAAACAGTGTTAATTGAGCACTTGTTATATGCCAGACACACTGTTACGAGCTTCTATAGCTATGGTTGGCACGATCATTTTCTTAGTCTTTTTGATGAGGAACCAGCTCATGCGAAGCCACACAGCTGGCGAGTGGCAGAGCCGTCTGCACACCCGGACCTGCTGGATTCCCAGTCCTGGGCTTGTAACGGTTCTGCTGTAATGAAGGGCCCTTCTCACGCTCAAAGGCCCTGAGTTATCAGGGGTTCCCCTGAGCTACGGCTTTCTCAGAGACAGGGGTTTCTAAATGAAGAGAGGCGCCCAACTAGAGACAGCACGCTGGCTGAGGTGAGGGCCCTGGGGACCGCTCAGCACTGGGAGCTTTGACTCAGGTCACCGTCTGGCCGCATGGGCTCTGCCCGGGCCTCCTGCGGAGTTGCCATGTGCTTCCCTGGAGAGCCATCCGTAAAGCCCTCACTGAACTCGTCCTCCCCTCAGTACTCTGGGAGTGTGGTCTGTGTGTTCTGGATGGCAGCCTGAGGAGTCGCTTACCATGCCACCAGCAAGGAAGGGAAGGTGCCAGGAAGCCACAAGGTGTAATAAAGGCCATGTGAGTTTTGCTAACAATAACAACAGTAATAGCAACACATACTGGACCCGAGGGATGTGAGAATTAATTGCATACAATCCTAGCAAGTGAGTTATGTGTTTGCTTCTCTAAACATGTAAACAGATCATTTTAGTAAGCTACAGCAGTTTCTGTGACAGCAGTAACTATAGGTGCCATGGGGATTTAGAGGAGAGAAATGTGACCTAGTATAAGCAGTCAGGAAGGCCTTCCTGGAGGAGGTGACACTTATCCATTGTTATTTTATTCATTGATTGGTTTTTCCTCCCATCATCTCCAATGGACCACAGGCTCCACGAGAGCCCGATCATGTCTGTTTGTACATTGCTGTATTTGCAGGGCCTACCACCACAGTTCCCAAACTGTGTGCCGAGGAACCCTGAGGTGCCACCACACACTCACAGTGCTGCTGTGTTTTGAAAAATTTGAGGAGACACAGTGGCATGTCTCAGACCCGTGGGAATTATTAGCTCCAGGAAGGTCCCATTTTCAACATTCCCTTTACTGAGGCCGTGTCTTTGCAAATCTGGGTGTTCCGTGGCTGCGGTGCTAAAAGGCAAGAACGGTGGCAAATCCAGGAGGCACAGGGACTGCAGGGGGCAGCGTCCAGCCAGGTGCCGATGCCTGAGGACTTCCTCGGAGCCCCGCAGACGTACAGTTCCCGGGAGCAGTAACTGTAGTTATTGAAGGATGAGATGAAAATACCACCTTTTCTTTCCAATTACATGCACTGCTTTCTCAAACAGCTACTAAATTATCCAGAGACAGTTATTTACTAAGGTGTTTGGATCAAACTACTTGATTAATAGAATTGTGAGGTATTTTGGCCTGAGAAATGGCTGAAAAGATCCCTGAGACACCAAAGATACCTTGAGTTGAGAAAGTTTGGGGACCTCTGCCCGAGCCCTGAGCCTGCATGCAGGCAGTGCTATTAAATGACCAGATGAGTTGCCTCCAACAGCCCTGCCTGGCAGGGAGTATCATTTCCTTACCAGCCCTCAGATGAGAGCTCTGAGGCTCAGAGAGGGCAAGCTGCTTGCTCAAGGTCACCCAGCGGAGCCGGGAGTGTCTGACTGTAAGTCCCAGCCTCTTTCCCCCACCGATGCCTGACTATCTGTTCTTGAAGTGGCTTGGACTAGGAGTGGAAGGCATCATTTTGAGTCCCAGCTGGACCAAACCATGGCCTTGAGTGAGCGGCCCCGAACAGAAGCTGTGGATGACCAGAGCTCACATGGTTTGCTCTGTCTGTCTCGTGAGCTTGTTGGTGGAAGATCTTAGTCGGCAGTAAAGCATCAGAACTTCGCCAGAAGCTGGGGCTACAGTGATAGGTGGGTGGATAACGTTCTGGGGGTTCATCAGGCTTGAGTGGAAATCCTAGGATCTCCCCTTCCCTGCTGTGTGACCTCAGGAAAGTGACTCACCCTCTCTGGGCCTGCTTTGCCTGCTTTTAAGTGGACACACATACCATTCATGCAGTTTTGTGAGGGTTAAGCGTGTTTATGTTGGGGAAGGCCACGGCATAGTGAAGGGGCTCATCAAATCAGGGCTGTTCACTGTTCAGGAGAGGAAACACTTAAAGCCGTCTTCTGTCTGACACTGTCATCCTGGGAAACGCCCTCAGCACCCAGACTGTAACCTCCTGTCCAAGCCAGGCACCTCGCTACAAGAAGTCGACCACGCCCTCGCCTCAGGTGTCGTCCCCTGCCAGCCTCGCCTGCCTGTAGCGTTGCTGGAACCACAGGTTGGCTGCTTTCTCAGGCTTCTGGGAGGACTGTGAGTCTCCTGACACCCAGCCCCACTCGTGAACTCATTAGCACGGGTGTCACGGAAGCCGTCTCCACTGAGCCCCGACGCTGGGATCTCAGGGAGAGATGCCCCGAAGGGAGCGAGGCTGGCTCCCCACACACCCAGCAGCCGCTGCAGCCCAGAGGGTCATGGGAGGCTGTGCCTCATTAGTGAAGTGCCTTTTCTCTCTTCTTAAAAATGGTATCTCCACCTCTCTGTGGTTGACAATACACTTTGATTTTTAGCTTTTCATGCCTGGAGTTCTGCAGCTTGCATTCCTCACCCTGACATGTCACTAGGAGGACTTCCCAGGCTTCCATGAGGAAGTGCCACAGACCGGAGAGCTCAGGACAACAGGGATGCATGGTCTCACAGCTCTGCGGGCCAGACGCCCGCGACCCAGGTGTCGGCAGGGCCAGGCTCCCCCTGAAACCTGTAGGGGGCGCACCCGGCCTCGCTTCTGCCCGGCTTCCGGCAGTAGCCCATGGGGCTTGGCATTCCCTGCCTTGCAGGTGGAGCGCCCCATCTCCGTCTCCACATGGTGTCCCCCCTTTTCTTGTAAGGACACCCGCCACTGGGTTAGTACCCGTCCGCATCCAGTATGACCTCACCTTCACTGGAGGACATCTGCAAAGACTCTCTTTTTTAAAAAGGTCACAGTTATGGGGACTGGGGGTCGAGGGTGAGGACTTCGACATCTGTTTTTGGGGAACACAATCCAACCCGTAACTGGAACTTGACCTAAAGGTCTGGGGACTGGGGAGGGGATGTGGCCGCAGTTAAGGGTTAGGGCTGCGATTCCAGGGGGACGTGCCTGCCACTCACCGTGCAGACAAGGCTGGTGGAGAGGAAACCGAACTCGGAGACCAGGGTCCGACCTCTGCCCGTGAGGAAGAGCTAGATCTTAACCCTACCTGCCTCCAGTTTCAATTTCTTCTACACATACAGAGTTACAAATATAAATACTGTGTGCATACACACACACAAACACTCACAAATATTTTTAGACGTAATCTGTTTGGCAATGTATTTTATACATTCAATAAATGATAACTATTATTACTTGTTTCCCCCCTGAGCTGTAGTTTCCCTAATATACATGCACACATGTATATAATTCATATATACATACTATCCATTTGTTCACAAATGTATCACAAAATATCTTGCACAATCAACGAACAGCAACTCTCAGAATTATCTGAAAAAGGGGGCAGCTGTGTCTTATCTCTAGGTTACCCCTCAGTTGCATGGTGTCTCCCCGACTCCCTTCAGCTCTGAAATTCTAGAAATCCGACTGAAGGGGCAGGTGGGAGCAGAGGACTGTGTGGCCTGAGGTCCCTAGTTACATGAAAACAAAAACAAAACAAAAGCTTTAACAAGCTCTACATTTTGAGGCAGTCCTCCCGGCTGCGTCTGGAGCTCGAGGTGGCTGTGCCTTGGACGAAGGCGCTTGTAACACACTGACCACACGGTCTGTGCTGCCCAGAGCCTAAACTCCAGATGCCCCCCGTGCGGCCCGGAGGCCACCTGCCCTCCCCAAACAGAGTCTGGTCCCTGGTCACCCACCAGAATCCCTGGCAGCTGTAAACCTGCTGCCGGCACAGGCACAGGCGACACCCCACACCAGCTGCATCCGCATCCCCAGTGAGAGTCAGACCTTCCCAGCTGGTTCCCAGGCGCCCTGGGGCCCGAGACACCTCTGCCCGGTAAGAAGAGGAACCCCTCCCTTCTCCGTGAGTGACCTGGGAAGCCTTTTTAGAGTTTTTGTGGTTAAGAAATCCAAAACAGTTTCTTTTTCCAACCAAGCATTTGCCTCGGTGTCTCCACATGGACGAGGCCAAAGAGTTGAACCTGCCCTGTTTAGCACCTGGTGGACTGCTTGCTTTTACGCAGTTAAAGAGCCCCAGGGGTCCGGCCTCCAGCTATATGTCCTGGGGCAATGAGTTCACCTCTCTGAACCTCCTTAAAAGGGAGCAGTAATGCCACGCCCCCAGGGCTCCTAGGGGAGGGGAGAAGGGAGGGGCACTAGGGGAAGGAGCTAGCGCAGGGCTGGGTACATCTACCCTAAGTGTTGCAGCCTCCACGCTTTCAGTGCATGTTAGCTATTGTCCTGTGATAGGAATAGTAACAAACTCTCCCACAGGGCAGAGGCCTCCCCCAGCCGCCCAGCCTTCCCCGCCTGGAATAAGAAGATGGCGAAGCCGCGCTGGTGTCCAGTCGGCACGCAGGACTTACAGACGCAGTGCGGCAGGCGCGACGTCCAGATGGGCGTGCCGGTCTCGCGGCTGTAGCAGGTCAGCAGCGAGCTGCCCTCCAGCACGAAGCCGGGGTTGCAGGTGTACTGGATGGTGGTGCCCACCAGCAGCACGGGGTCCGAGATCAAGCGGGTCGAGTGGTCCACTTCTCCGGGGTCGGTGCAGTACATAACTACGCGAGAGACGAGATCAGACCAAGTGCGCGTTAGGGCTCTCGAGGGTCACGGGTTTCCTGAGAATTTCAGGATGAACTAGAAAGCTTCCTAACTCGGCTCTTTTCCGGTTTGGAAGATGAGGCATCTTGGGCTGATCAAAGGGGGCTGGAGAATGGGCCAGGGCGAAAGGGATTTGGACTTCATGCCACTTGCAGGAATTTGCCCAAAGAAAGGTTTGCATCAGAGCCTGAAACGCTATGTACAAGGTCGTGCATTGCACCACTATTTGTAACGGCAAAAAACCAAACCAAAACAAAACAATGCACATTCTTTAACAGGGGAAGAGTTAAATATGGAACAGCCATTCATAAAATCCTGAGCAATCACTAAGGAGAACCAAGTGAGGGGGCTCACGGCTTCCTTTGTAGTGCTTGAATACAGTAAAACAAGCATCCATTACCTCTTAATTAAAAAATCAATGTAGAAAAGGGAAAACAATAAACCGATTAAGAAGAAGGAAGTAGACACCACGCGTGGTATGAAAAGACGCCCGCATTTCTGAGTTGCAGCTGCGAGGGAGTCTGTATAAGATGATCCCCGTTACGGTGAGACTTCTGTAGCTATTTCCACGTGCATATCTATGTATGTCTGTATACAGAATACATTCACATGTGCACACATGTGCCTGTGTGTAGCACATGCTGACACATGCGTGTGCACTTGGAACCATATACAATGCGCTTTTAAGAGTGGCATCATTTCCAGAGAATAAGATTGTAAGGGAATTTTACCTCTCTTCCTACTTTATAATTTTACTCCAGCTTGAGTATAATAAGTAAGCATTTGTTACTTGAGTAATTTAAAGTTATTATTATTTAAAACATTGAAAATAATTATTTACAACATTTAAAAATGATTACATAACATACATCCTACTACTGTACATGTTATCACGTATATAACACACGTAACAATAGATGTTGGTCATGTGATGACATAGGTCACACTAATGAACACGTTCATTTTTAGTTTTCTATTGTGGGACACACACACACAGCCGCACACACACAACCACACACACCACACACTGTTGCAGAACAAAGAGATCTGTGTGTGTAGCCGATTTCGTGGATTTTTAGCAAGTTCTCTCACGTTTTCCGCAAGTACAATTTTCTTTGATGTCAGGAGACTCATGGCAAGAATTACGTGTGGACCCTGCATGCCTCCCCACACCCTCTTTCTCTGACTGCACTTAGTAGGTTCGCCCTCTGTGTGTCTGGGGTTTTGCATCTGCAGATTCGACCACCTGCAAAGTGAAAAACAGTATTTTCCGACTGTGTGCCTTGTTCTGTGCCATTTTGTATAAGGGACTTGAGCGTCTGAGGGTTTTTGTGTTTGTCGGGGGTTCCTGGAACCAATCCCTGCGGGGACCGAGGGACACCTGTATTGCTCATTGTGCATTTGGTGATTCAGGTCACGCTGAAGGGGTCCCCCAGGGCTCCCCCAGGGTTTCCCAGCCAGAGGGTCGCAGACCAGAGCTCTCTGTAGGAGCTGGAGACAAACGGCTGGAGGAGGAGGCCACCTCCGAATTTAGGTCCTCCCCTGCTACGGAGGCATCAGTGAAGAAACCAGAAGCACTTCCTTTATCTACCCTTTTTCCAGCCACCGGACGCAGCCGTCCCTGGACATGCCCGGCCCACACTCTGGAGGGGAGCGGGCCGAAGGAGCCAGGAGCCTGGGCTGGATGCTGCCTGGAGGGGTCAGCCACCCAGCACAGAGGCTTCGAACTGTGACTCCAGGGTCCGACTGAATTTGTTTTGCTTTGGCTCCTACAGGGATTTTAAAGACCGGAACTTGAATGATGTTTTTTACACAGGCTACGTGCAGCCCCCTTCGCCGCAGTCCACGCCCTTCCCTAGTGTCTGACAGGAGTCTATTTCACTCATTTACATCACCGGCCAGGCTTCCGAAGGCACCTCAGTCTGAGATTCCTGCCCTGGGGCCACACAGCGACATTTGTGAACAGCACCAGTGAGCTGGTGGAGTAGAAGGGAGGTCAGATTCTACTTTAAATAATTCCGGTGCATCCATGAAAAAGAAGTCCCTGGGAGGGACTCACCACCCACTGACCTAGAGGAAGTGAAACAAGACTATGCTTACTTTTCTCACAAAACGGGGGGTCACTGCTCCAGCTGAGGTCCCACTGGCAGGTGAGGGTGTCGCTCCCCACAATGTCGTAGCCGGGGTCACACTGGTAGGTGATTCTGGCTCCCCGCACCAGCTCCGTGTGTGAGGTGGTCTTCCAGCCGTTCTGGATCTCGGGCAGATCTGAGCAGGAGTCGTTCCTCGACACCTCTTTAAAACAGAGACATAGTCCTTCAGTGCGGAGGTGGCCAGTTTCACCAATGTCAGAGGGAAAAACACACTTCCCAAACCCCTCAAAACAGTAAGAACTCTTCTATAGTGAGCTTCTACAATGACCTCTTCCCTGTGGGTCACTGAACTTACCAAACATCCTCCCGGTTCCATACAGTTACTTTAGGATTTAGAGTAAGAATCCTCACTCTGCTACTTACCAGCAGCATGGCTGGCCACAGTCACTTCTCTCTGCGTCTCAAGGTCCCTGCTGTTCAGGACAGCCTGTCACACTCATGCCTGCCTCTCTGCCGCCACCAGCTTCCAGGGTGTCCCCAGTTGCTCTAGCCTGGAATTCACATCCTTGTATGGCCCTGGCCAACACCAAGTCGGGCCGACATGCACAGCCAGTAGGCTGTTGCAGACCCAATGATGTGTGACTCCCAAGGTTATCTCATCAAAAGCACCGAGGCTCCTTGCTGTGTCTATTGTATCGCTTTCTATCTGGAGGCAGCGATACAATGTTGTGTAGCCACCGTGTTGTGAGGTTGCTCCAGCAGCCTCTGGAGAGGCGCGTGCGGAGAGGCTGAGACCTCCTGCCAACAGCTGGCATCAACTTGCCAGCCACCGGAGTGAGCCACTGTGGAAGGGGAGCCACCAGCCACTGCTGACATCCTGACTACAACCTCACGACAGACCCTGGGCCAGAGCACCCAACATCAGATCTCAATTCCTGACCCGCAGAAACTGTGACATAATACATGTTTATTGCTAATTTTACGGGGGGGGGGGCGGTAATTTGTTACACAGCAATAGATAGCTAATACACTCAGCCTCATCCTAAGAATGTCTGTAAATCCATGGGTCTGATGGATCAGCAATACATAGTTTTGTAATGCAGATGAAGAGCAACACTTGACTATTAGAATAAGAACAACGGGTGCATTCTTCGAGTCACACTGCATTATCACTGGCGAACACTAGCTGCACTCCAGAAAATGCTCCTTGCAGCTTGTTATCTTAGCGTCTTCCTCTGGAATAATTTTGTTGTTCGTTAGCAAACCCTCATTACTAAGATAGCAATCCAAAGCCCACTATTACTCTTCTTGCTTCCCAGCGCACACTGCACAGATATTGAGAAAGAGCTAATTATGCCGTATAATTAATTTGCAGTTCTTATGTGCTTCTGGGGAAAGCAAAGCACCTCCACCGTCTGCAGGAGAGTCCTTCTGAGAAAGAAGCCCTGGTTCTTCCCGGAGTGTCATCATGGCTTTATTTGGGGAGAGGAGCTCTCACGGCCGTCTGCACCAAGTGGGGGAGAGGCGACGGCTTCTGGAATCGCTTGGTGGGGAACAGGAGCCTCTATTTTTAGGTCTTTGAAGAACCAGCCAAGCCCTGGATTTAGGACACAGCTGCGAACGCGCAAATCGTGGATGAAAGGGGAGAAACGGGGGCAAATACTGGGTAGGTGGGCCGCCTAGTGCCAAAGGGCTTTGCTGAGAAAGATTTGCTCGTCTGACTTTTTTTCAGCGTGAGCCCGCAAGGCCGCGCGTTCCTGGGAGACCCCCAGTCTCCTTCGTGGTTTTCATCACCTCTGGGACCGCTCGGTTGCTGCCGCCCTGTCCCAGAGACCGGACTTAAATCTTGGCCTCACGGTTTGCACGTTCAGTGGCCTTGGCTCCGTCACGTGGCCTTCCTGCTCTTCAGTGACTTGACTCCACCCCCAGGGACCCTGGTTCAGGGATCTGCAGAGTCATCACACACCCAGTGGAGGTTCCGGGGGTCCTTAAGTTTGCTCGCAATGAGGAAACTGGCCCAGGCGTTGGAGGGCTTCCATCATAACCCTTTTTATTTTAGAAGCCGTGCGACTCCAGTCATGTCAGTAAACATCTCTGAGCCTCACTGTCCCCAACCATAGAGTGGAGACACAAATCACGGCCCTGTCTATCCCTAAGGGCAGAGTGGATGCTCACCGATGTGCAGTTATATGGATTAATTGATTTGTTTGACTAAGATTTTGTGAGGACCCCCCATATACTAGGAGAACGAGGGTCTGAAGTCATGGTTGCGGTTTTATGGTGAAGATCAGCACCCTGGTCCAACTTGTGGGCAAAAGAAACACCCCAATGCACTGAATACGTGCCCCGATTCACTAGTCTTGTGCTCATGGCAGACATCGCTAATCGATCACAGCAATCCCTTTCACTGGATCAAGCTGAAACCCTCCAGTCCTACTCAACACAGCACTCCAGGGAGCTGCGGCCATGTGATAGAGTTGACCTATCATACAGAGCTTATTTATTATCCCAGGGTGAGATGAATAAATACACAAGCGAGCAACATCTCTTTGAGAAACACTGCTTACTCCTCTCTGCTTTTTTGTTCCCATCCCCTCCCATGCACTTGGCCCGAGACACTCACAAAGCGCACGAAGCAGTGATGGGAATGGGCCTGTGCAAAGAATGATGGGAGGTCAGAACCACGTAAGCCCATGGTTCTGACAGCAGCCATAGCAGGCAAGCCTTGACGAACGTCCAGAGCTGGGGTTCAGGCCTGGGGATCAGTCAAGAGCTCTGGAATTCTCTGCACGAGCACAGAAACCCCTGACCCTTCCGTCTGATGCCTCTGCTGTAAGGAGGTTGCATCTGTGTCTGGTCAGGTCTAGACCTATGATAGCGAACACCGCTCCCGTGCCATGGCAGACATCGCTAATCAACCACGCCATTCTTTCCCCCTGATTCCAGACACCACCGCCTCTGAATTCTCTTCAGCGTGGTCTCCAACACTGGCGGTCGCAAGCAATTGACTGGCAACCAAAAGAAACACAGCGGCCCCCTTGCCTTCCTGGTAAAGTTAACTGTGCATTTCTTTAACAGAAATGAGAACCAAGGGAACTGTTCTGTCTTTTGTGTGCTGCCCATGTTGGTTTACCAGGCTGTGTGCCCCTGGGAGGCAGCCTCTGAAACCCCGTGCTCGCTTCTCCCACAGCATCAGCGCCCGACCCCGGCATTGCCTGGGGCCAGGCTCCTTCTCCCTTTCCCACCAGCCAGCCGGAGGGCAGTGACGGCGTTCTGTTTGCTCCCAGGTCTGGGTGCCTAGAGCAGGGCCCGGCACACAGGAGGTGTCGAGAGATTTGTGTGAACCAAAGTGTCTGGAAAGTGAAGATAATGCACTTGGAGAATAGAATAAAATAAAATAACACATGTCAGCATGCTTGCCAACTTCAAGCTCTCACACAAGTCTACGTTTCAGCTTCAGTTAACAGGAGCACCTCCTCTTCAAAGTGGCCAAAATGAACATCGGCTGGGCTTGCTGGTTCCCCTTGGGTGGCCGTGGATGGAGTCGGATTTCTGCCATCGAGCTGAGTGCAGCTTTGGAAGACTGACTCAGGCGCCAGAGGAGACGGAAGAGCAAAACTGTGACCTCATCTTTTGGCAGGGGAAAGGGGAAAAGTCCAAGGAGACAGACCGAAGCCAAGCCACCAGACGCTCTCCTTCCCAAGGCAGCTGACCCTGGAGGGCACGTCGCCTGGCCAGCCGGCAGGAGCCCTTCCCCCGTGCCCAGGGCGCCGCCCAGGCAAGAGTGGGCAATGCATGCAGAGCAGCAGCAGTAACACTCTGAAAGTACTTAGCAGCACGGTCCGGGGTGAAAAGGCCCCTGAGAGCACGAGAAAGAAGACCGACACTCGTGTTTGCCTCTCTGACGGCGGCCTGGAGACGCCCGCCGGCTGGAAATGAACAAGGGACTGACTTCCACAGGCAGGGGGCGCTCCCGACGCAGCCGGCGGTCAGGGAAGTGGCTGGATGATAGAGGTGGGAGGGGCACCAGGGAACATTTTACTGCGATTGAGATAAGCAAGCGTTCAAGCCTAGGGGGGCAAAGAACCAAAGGCCCAGAATCCTGCTCCAGCCAGAGCATCTTTGGCACTGGGGGCAGAAGTCGGGGCCTGCCCAGGGAAACCCCCCTTTTCCCTCTCCATCCTGGAAATCAAGATGACAACCTTGTTCCTGGGAGGTGTCAGCATGTCCCCTGCTTTCTGGCTGAAGGTTGCCCGTTGAGATTCTCAGGCATAGCACCCAGCATCCTGGGTGCCAAAAGGAGTTCGGTGTTAACTGCCCTCTTGTCTCTCCCAGGTTCTCTGCTGTTGCCAAGAATGTCGCAGGTGAAGAAACCCGAAGAGCTGGGAGCCTGGCTGTGACCTCGAGTGTGACCCTGACGAGCAAGCCCCATCCGGTATCTGTGATGGCCCGGGGCTGCCCCTGCTGTGACAGGGCAGGGCTGAAGCAGACACTCTGTCCGCTCAGGTCCCCTCCAGGGCTGGGATCCGCTGACCCCTCATGTTGTTTCAGCCCGTGACCACGGAGAGATGGGGACAAAAGCTTCAATATGAGACACAGCGTGGAGGTCGCGTTGAGAGGGTGGGTGGGATACAGGCAGGGGAAGAGGATGCAGCCTGAGACCCCAGGAGAGACGCGGTTCCCTCTCCTGGGATGGGCAGAGGGCGGGCGGAGCCGCTGGGTGGTGGCGGTGGTGGTGGGGTAGAGAAAGGATGAGTTCTGCTCTGGCCCTGTTCCATCTGAGACACCAATTAGAGGTTGCCCGGGAAGGAGTTGGGTCAATCTGGAGTGGCTGGGGGAGTCCGAGGTTGGAGGTGCAGGATAGATAGGTGTTGCTCAAAACCATGGGGCCGAAAAAGATCACACGGGGAACGAGTTTAGACAGAGAAGAGGACGGGGTCCAGCACGGAGCTTGGGACCCTCCCATGTTTAGGTGCTGAGCCGAGGAGGGTGACGGAGCCAATCACGAATTAAGGGGCATTGCAGGGTGGGGAGTGCGTGTGGGCAAAACAATAAGGGGGATGGGACGGTCAAGTGTGCACTGGGCTCGAACTTAGCAGGAATTTTTTTTAAGTTGGGGGGAGGTAATGGTTTGAAAGCCACACTGAGGATCAAGGAAGCATCACCGGCATCTATTGGCCCTAAAGTTTGGGGGGTGGGGGAGAGAGGGCTGTCTCTGCTCGACGGGACCCAGGGGAAGAAGAGTCCTTCAGGGAGAACCAAGGTTCATAGGGTCAGGGTCAGGGTCAGGGACAGTGTTGATGAAATAAAGTCCCAGCTGACAGCAAATGAAACGTAATGAGTCCTGGAGTGATGAGGCTTTATCTACTGAGTCCTGACACAACCCTGTGGAGTGCGTATCACTGTTTCTACTTCATAGACAACAAAAGGGAGGCTCAGATAGGGTGTGTGACTGGCCCGAGGCCACCCAGCCACGGACAGCAGTACGAAGGCTCAAACCCTGGTCCGTCTGACTAAGGTCTTAAAACCTACACATACTCACCGTGCCAATATATCAAAAGACTGTAGCACAAACTGCCCCCTGAGGAAGATACATCTGGAGGACATCATCTTCACTTATATCTAAAAACAAAGAAAACAAACAAAAAAAACCCCTGCCCGACGCGACACCTACCTATGTAGTTCATGATAAATCCCTGGCCCTTCCCGAAGATGAGGCCGGCTGGGTCCGAGTGGAACTGGATGGTGAGGTCCGGCGTGGACGAGTACAGCTTCTGGGGGCCGCTGCTCCCGAGGTACTGGCCCAGGACGTGGGGCGTGACCTCGTCCCCGTCGTAGACGGTCAGGATGTCGCTGTTGCTCAGGTTCAGGCTTGAGGGCAGAGAGAGGGGGTGCGGGGAAGCCATGTTAGGGATGTTCGACCAGCTCATGATTTATTTTTTTTCAGACAACACACACTTTTTTTTAAAGACATTTTTAAAAAGATTTTACTTATTTATTTTTAGAGAGGAAAGGGAGGGAGAAAGAGAGAAAAACATCAATGTGCAGTTGCTGGGGGCCATGGCCTGCAACCCAGGCTTGTACCCTGACTGGGAATCGAACCTGCGACACTTTGGTTTACAGCCCGTGCTCAATCCACTGAGCTACGCCAGCCACAGCTTTTTTTTTTTTTTTGAGACACACTAGTGTCAGGTCCCAGGCCAGGGCCTGGGCGGGGTGGAGGTGAGCCGGGCTCCCAGTGTGATCGGGACGTGCGGGTCCTTCCCGCAAGCCTTGCGCACAGATTGGTGGGCGGGTCAGGCTTTGGCAGGCTCATCATTCACGAAATGGCCTTCCCGTGCAGGGTCAGATGCTGCGTTGTAAGTAGAATTGCCTTCAATACCCCCGGCATTAACCCCCCGTTTCAGGGGTGAGGCTAAGTGGTGGGCGCTGGGCTGCATGCTGGGGGCGTGGCCCGGGTCTTTCATTTTCCTCTGATGCCGAACCAGCTGGCTGCTTGCTAATTATCATTTGCATTTTCGTGTAAGGTGAACTGATGCTTCCATTTATCCTGTGCGTCATTCCTCAACATCATCCTGGTTATCTGTTATGTTTCGGGGGAGGGGCAGGCAATGGCCGCTCCAGCCTGCTGTCACTCTGCACAGCCTTCAAGGATGACGACGTCTCAAAGACTCAAGCTCTAGAAGGCATGCTGACACTAGATATGGGGACTGCAAGGGGCAGGTGACAACCCAGAAAGCCCTCCGGCAGGCCACAGACCTGTGTGCCCCATTAGGCATCCTGGGTGAACTTGATCTCTGAGACGAAGGACGTTGGCTTGCATCAGTCGTGGAGAGATATTAACGCATGCCTCACCCCTTCCTTTCTCCTTATTCCCCTCTCTCTTCCTTCCCTTTCCTTCTTAGGTCTTTCTTCTTTTCTTGTGTCCTTCTCCCTAATATTTGTGAGCCCTACTATGTGCCAGGCACTGTGCTGTGCTCAGAAGATTGAGGAGTCATAGAGCAGTGGTATATTTAGACCAGGAAGCCGGGGACGGTGGTAGGAATTGTAGTCAAAGTAAGTGCAGTGGAGGGCGTTAACTCAGATTGGGGGGAATCACGGAGGCCTCCCTGGAGGAGGTGACACTTGTGTCTGATCCTTAAGAAAGAGGACCATGAGGCAGATAAGCAGAGGGTGGGGAGAAAGCAAAGCCCCAGGCAGAGGGAGGAAGAGAGCAGGGTCCTGACTCTTGAGGGATCTTGCCTGGTGGCCAGCGTGTGTGGGAACCCGGGGAGACCTGCGGGAGGGCCCCCATGAAGGGCTTCGAGAGAGAAGTACAGGCGTCTGCATGTCATCACGCTGGGAATGGCAGACAGTGCCGGGTTTTCATCAGGAGTCTCCTGACTGAGCAATTCACCGCCAGAGGAGAGAGGCGGGTCAGGAAATCGCCCGGAGTGAAATTTCTGGGACTGATGCAGGCTGACAACAGCCCTCCCCCAGCTGACAGCTTCATCCAACCTGGGCGCTGAGCTGATGGCTGCCGGCCTGGGAGTGGGGAGAAGCGGCGGGGACCGCCCACGCTGGTGCGTCAGTTAGTAAGAACAAAGCAAAAACAACAGAAACACAATGTACCAGTTGAAGTCTTCCTTGCAGAGGGCGGGCAGGGGGTGCACTGGACTCACCCCATACCTCCCACAGCCCCTCCCGCAATGCCTCAGGGAAAGGTGCCCCCGGGGGCTGGCGCAGGGGGGCTCTGATTGCCCCTGAGATCTCCAGCAGTGTCCCCTGCACGACTGGAAAAACATCCTCTTCTCAAAAAGCTGTCTGCTGGCCTTGCACGCACGCTTGCTCTGCTTCTCTCGGCTCCTCCTCCCCCCCTGCCCGTTTCCGGCCAGGCCACAGCCTCTAAACTCCTATTGGACTGGAATCTGGAGTTGCCACCTTCTCTTGCACACAGTTGGCGTTCAATAAATGATACGGTATAAAGAACACGCCGGGGGGTCTGTCTGAAAACAGAATAGTGGGGCCGATGCCAGCGCTTGACCTATGGTAGGGAGAGCCTCTGGACGCGGAGAACCACGAAAACATCGATTGCTCGTGCACGTTCTGGGCGGGGCCAGTGTGCTCGGGGCGGTAACAAGTATCTGTTCCCTGCGCCGACCTCTCAGCCGACCTGCTGGTAACGCGGGCTCCAGACACAGGGCGGCTGGGCTCTATTCTGTCACTCAGCGCGGTGACCGGATTGCAGCAGCGGTGACGTCACAGGCAGTGAGACAGGAGCCGGGAGGGACGGTAGGCCCGCTGCGGAGGGTCACCCTGGGTGGCAAGCCCTGGGTGCCTAGCAACGGACCATCGTAGGGCGGGGCCTGGCCACCAGGGCGACCTCTCCTCCCCTAGCATATCACACGGTCACGCGGTTTAGACCCCCAGCCTTTCGTATCGCTGGCCACGCGGTTTGGCCGCTGCCCTGGCCTTCCTCCACTGGCGTGTGGCTAGTCAGGCTGTAGACCCCCTGGCAGGGGGCACAAAGGGGCTGAAGAAAAGTCTCATCGACTCCCATACAAGCCCTGGCATGACCGCCGCCTTAAGCATGAAGACAACAAGGTACTCAGGTTCTGACCCGCATCAAGTCATCGCAGGAACAAAGGTTTGGGTGTGTTGTCCACAGAGAGAGAGAGAGCTTTGGTCAGAGCGGAGGTGACATCCAGGCCTCCGCTGTGTTCCAGCTCCGGGTCCAGAAAAGCAGCAAAACCAGGCGGAGCGACACCGCGGCAGACATCTGGACCAGCTGCCAGGGCTGACTTCCGGCCCGGCGCCAGCCAATCAGTACAGACCACGGCCCTGGAAGGACGCCCCTGGGAAGCTGAGAATGGTCTACTGAGATCCTGCCCTGAGACCTCCAGATAAAACCCCTCAGAACGTCGAAGAATTCTCTCTCTGTCTCTCTCCCTCTCTCCTCCGTGCCTTTCTGCCTCTCCTCCCCCTAGGCGTGTTTCCGTTGTCTTTCTCTCTCCAAAGCTTCAGGGCCCCTCTTCTTATGCCTCTGTGACTCGCCTCCTGAGCCCACCCAGCCCAGCTGGCTCAGTTCTTCTACCGCTGTGACTTTCTAAATAAACTGTTGCTTGTATTGAAGTCGTGGCTCTGAATTCTTTCTCAGCCAAAACTCAAGGCCTGAGTTCTGACGTCTAGTGCTGCTGGCCAATAACAGAAACATCTTCAAGAGTGAAAACTGCTTTCCTCCCAAACCCTGAAACGACTCTTTGTTCTTTGTAAAACGGGAAGGAGCAGCGTGCTGGGAGGGGCCCACTGCCTTGGAAGTCGGAAAGCTCTGGCTTGATTCTTGGCTCTGACACTTTTGTGAAGCCTAAAGCTCGTTGTCTGTGAGTTGAGCTTAACATTTCCGGTCCATGTGGTGGGCTTCCGGAGTGAGGTAAGGCCTACAGAAGGTCTGGGATCAAATCCCAGGGCTACGGCGGCACCTGGGCAAGTTTGGTCAAGTCGTTTGAATGTTACGTCATGTTGCAATGTTATCATGGGCACCACCACCACCACCATCTTCACTATCACCATCATCATCACCACCACCATCACCACCATCATCATCTTGACCATCACCACCACCACCGTCATCATTATTATCATCATCTTTTTGGACTGCTGTTTACATCGAATGACATCAGGTGACTTGTGTTCTCAGCTAGGGGTGTTTTGCCCCCTGGACACATTTGACAATGTCTAGAGACATGGTTGTCCCACCTGGGGGGTTGCCACAGGTGAATACTGCTAAACACCCTACAACAACACACGAGATGGCCTCGTCCAACAAAGCTCTAAGGCTGAGGAAGCCTGACTCATGTGGGTGCATTTTGTACACAGTAAACAGCGGACTGTTCAGTGCAGCTTCTGTTGCCCTGGAATCTCAGAAAATGTGCCCTGAGCAAAGAACAAGCCAGTAGGGACTGAGCTCTTCTGCTCTTCAAAGGGATATGTGTGACTGTCGATTGAGGTTGGGTTCCCCAGGAGCAGAGCCTGACCAAACATGTGGCCGTTCCTTGGAGTTTGGTGACCTGGGAGGCCACCCCAGGCAGCACCGCCGGGGGAGGGACCCAGGAGGAAGGGAAGGAGCCGACGCATGGTGCATGGTCGGGTGAGTTCCACTGTGGGCACTGGGCTCAGTGCTGCAGCAGCTCTGAGAGACAGAGCAGAACATAGCTCGGGGGAGAGGGGGCCGGGACATTTATCCTCCAACTGCCCCCTCTCTCGTTGGCCGAGGGCCCCTCCGAGGGGTGCCGAGTCTCCAGCACTTCCGGCCTGCCCACACGGAATCAGGGAAAGCTTTTAGGTGGACTTTTAGTAGGAAGCCATCACGGGTACAGAGTGCAAGTGTCACAGGGCTCGGACGGGGCGCCAGCGGTGCCTGCCACCAGCATCTAGGCTTCGGAAAACAGTGGCCGCCTCTGACACTGGCCAAGCCAAGCGCAGCGATAAAAATCAGCCCGGAGCTGACTGCCTGCTTGAGGGCAGAGCAGAGGGAGGGGAGCAGGTACTGGGAGTGAGCTGCCCTTCATGGATGAGGGCGGGGATGAGTCCCGTTGCCAGGGCCTCAGATGCAGCCCCTGCAGAGGGCAGCCTCTGGGAGCATCCCTGAAAGTGTTCTCCTCCCAAAAGGGCGATGGCGACCAGCCGAGGGGAAAGTCAGGGGCAGCCAGGCTCAGCGGCTTTGCCCCCATCAAGGTCTCCTTAAGAAGGGGGAAAAAAAAATCAGCACCCTGTGTCTTCCCAAACAGTGCTCACAAGGTAGGCATTCCTGTGGGAAAGAAACAGCCCTCCAGGCCCTCCCCCACTGCAGAATTCCCGGCCGAGGAGCCCTGCTGGGGGAGGGGTGAAGTTTT